CCTCGAGGTCGCGATGTGAGCGCGTGCATGTTGTCCAGACCCCACCAGAACTCGCCGTCCGGCTGCACGTCGCCGAAGCCGGCGGCGTACTCGGCCCAGGTGCGGTTGAAGTCGAGCCGGCTCGCCGGCGTCGACGCGTCGCTGCAGCAGCACGGTCCAGGCGCCGTCGGAGTCGATACTGCAGACGGCCGGCGTGTCGCGCTCGACGGCCGGCAGGCGCAGCGGGAAGCGGGCTGTCCTGCCGACCAGCTGCGGTCGCACGCCCGAGCAGTCGCGCGCCGGCGGCCGCTCGTCGTCGAACGTCTGGCAGAGGCGGCGCAGCGCCCGGCCCGGCTCGGCCGCCTCGGCCAGTGCCGGGCCTAACTCGGCGCGCAGCCGGTCAGCCACGGCCGTCGCCAGCTCGGGCAGCCGCGCCGAGAGGACCGAGTCGAGCGCGTCGCGCAGCGCCGGCTCCGTGGCGTCGGCGGCGGCGGCGGCGGCGGCGGCGGTCGGCGCCGCGCTCAGGGCCAGGAGCAGCAGCAGGGGTCGGCACATGGCGAGAGGGCGGCCGGCAGGCGCAGACGATGGACGCCGACGCCGGGTCCTACTCCATCCGCCGCTCGGAGCGCAATGCCGGCGTGCCAACGTCGACCAGCAAAAACCAGCCCCTGGTCCGTCTCACCTCCGCACCCTGTGTTTGTGGCCTTGAGAAACCCCTGCTGCCCAGATGGACTATGACCATGCACCTCGGACGTCAGCATCCCGACAGAAGAACACAACACGGCCTGTAGCGCGTGCGTTTGTTTAAACTCCTGACGTGAACTGCTGAGCGTTGAGCTGTTGGTTGGCCACTACCTACTGTGCGAGCTGTCAAACTCCGAATGTCTGCTGAGTGACGTCATGAGTGACACTGAGTGAGTCGCTGTCGCCACGCATGCATAATGAACTACGGCGCCGAAAGCTGAAGATAAAGTATATGTCTCGATGTGCTGACCACCATGAATGCTGGACACAATCCAGCGCCCCGAGAAGGCCCGTGGTGCAGGCACGACCATGGCGCAACGATAAACACGTCAACAGTAACTTACAGCCAATGACGTTGAGAACATTCGTGACAGCACAGGCGCTGCGACGATGCATGAAAATCTGGGATGGACAAGGAAAACTTTTCAACAAAGAACGATGGTTTAGGCTATGTGCGGACTGAAAACAGACGGCACATTGCAATATTGCTAGGTAGCCTTTGAGGCATCAAAGAGACACGGCACGCCAGAGTCAGGCACTACTAATACGTTGAAACAAGGGTAGATCCAGATGCCACATCGCGTTCGACGCACTCGCGCGTATGTCCGGTATCAATCCAGTCTGGAATGCCAACAACATTTTCAGTCATCTCCCAACTGTTAATTATAATGCAGCGCTTATGTCTGGAACCATGGCCAATGGCCCACTCAACCAATCGTCAAACGCGGTCCGAAAACATACCGACAAAAACATTAAGCAGCTCATAGTGGTATGGATCGCATCCGAGGCTACGTAAGCGGCTATAACCATATATGGCAAAACTCGCGTAGCCACGAGCTTTCGAATGTTGCCACTATCTATACCCCGCATTGGTCTTTTAATTGCAATGCTGTGTAATGCTGTGCAATCGCAGTACCAGCCTACCACCATTTCTAAACCCACCCACATAATATCCACACGTGAGAGTAGGGGTAATTTCATGGTAAAAGATACGTTATTCCAGTTTCTAACATATACACGATAAACTTCCCCCACTATATCTGCAGGTTATAGCCAGTTAGGTCTTATGTCCGGGCCGAATTCCACCGAGGCATATTGACTTAATTTCAGCCGCGTTAATGCTGTATGCTTTCTTGTTTTTCCTCACTGATTTATCGCCAAGTATCTTTCTGGGATCAGAATTTCTGAATAATCTCCCTTCGAACCCTTCCACAAAACTCAGAGCATTGTAACTTTTCATAAACACAAACTTTTCATGCTATCCCACCCCACCGTCTACAAGTCAGCGTCCGTGAGGGTTATTTTTCCTAGTTTTCTGAAGTCACTTTATCCCTGGAGATGGTACCTTTGGGGGATAGGAAGAGCAGCAGCCATATTTTCTCATCGTGCATGGTAGTTTATTTCCATGCGACATCTCAAGGCAAATGCTTAATTATTCCCACATATGGGGAAGGGAGTCTTCCCGTTCTTCGGTAAATGACAGCCCTCTTTCAAGAGTATCTCACAATGACTCGACCTTATGACCAGCTCGTCAATGCGTTGCGATAATTCCGATCAAAAGTGTGCATTTAATTTTTTGGAACGGGGTATATTGAATTTAGACGATACGCTGGTAATAACTGTTTCGACAGGACAACAAGACAATCCGAAGACCGTTTCTACTGTTCCGCACCCTCCTCCTCCTCTTCCTCGTCAAACTCCCCTTCCTCCTCCGCAGTGGCGTCCTGGTACTGCTGGTACTCGGACACAAGGTCATTCATGTTGCTCTCCGCTTCCGTGAACTCCATCTCATCCATGCCCTCGCCCGTGTACCAGTGGAGGAAGGCCTTGCGCCGGAACATGGCAGTGAACTGCTCCGAGACGCGCTTGAACAGCTCCTGGATGGCGGTGCTGTTGCCGATGAACGTGGCAGACATCTTGAGGCCACGGGGCGGAATGTCACACACAGCCGTCTTAACGTTGTTGGGAATCCATTCGACGAAGTAGCTGCTGTTTTTGTTTTGGATATTAAGCATCTGCTCGTCCACCTCCTTCATGGACATCCTGCCTCTGAAGATCGCGGCCACGGTGAGGTATCGCCCGTGGCGCGGGTCGCAGGCGGCCATCATGTTCTTGGCGTCGAACATCTGCTGGGTGAGCTCGGGCACGGTGAGAGCCCGGTACTGCTGGCTTCCGCGGGACGTCAGAGGCGCGAAGCCGGGCATGAAGAAATGAAGACGGGGGAAGGGCACCATGTTGACGGCCAGCTTCCTGAGGTCGGCGTTCAGCTGGCCAGGGAATCGTAGGCAGGTGGTCACGCCAGACATGGTTGCAGACACCAGATGGTTGAGGTCGCCGTACGTTGGAGTCGTCAACTTCAGAGTGCGGAAGCATATATCATACAGGGCTTCATTGTCGATGCAGAATGTCTCATCCGTATTCTCTACCAACTGGTGCACGGACAGCGTAGCGTTGTACGGCTCAACAACGGTATCAGATACTTTAGGAGAAGGCACAATACTAAAGGTATTCATAATGCGGTCGGGATACTCCTCTCGTATCTTGGAAATAAGCAGTGTTCCCATTCCGGAGCCGGTGCCGCCGCCAAGAGAATGCGTCATCTGGAAGCCCTGCAAGCAGTCGCAGCTCTCCGCTTCTTTCCTTACAACGTCCAGGACTGAATCCACCAGCTCAGCGCCCTCTGTGTAGTGACCTTTTGCCCAATTGTTTCCGGCACCGCTTTGTCCGAAGACGAAATTATCTGGTCGGAAAATCTGTCCAAATGGGCCAGCACGCACCGAGTCCATGGTTCCAGGCTCGAGGTCAACCAATATCGCCCTTGGTACATACTTGCCCCCGCTGGCCTCGTTGTAGTAGACATTGATGCGTTCGAGCTGCAGGTCGGAGTCGCCATGATACGTCCCTGTGGGGTCGACGCCATGCTCGTCGGAGATAACCTCCCAGAACTTTGCTCCAATTTGGTTGCCACACTGCCCTGCCTGAATATGGACAATTTCCCTCATTTTTCCTGATTTTGTTCACCGTTAGACCACAAAAGACAAAGACACAAAGAGACAACGACAAAAATAATGGTTTCCAACGTCCCAAATCCCGAATTATTGCCCCGCATACAAAAATACAGTGATTTTTCTGTCATCGCATTGTTAGCCACGCGCTAAACCTCGCGCATTTCTTCGAAGAATGTTTCAGATAAGAAGCAGTATGGCTGAATGAATTAATGAATGGGGTTTAATGCCCCAGACGAAATGTACATCACGAAACATGTCTGGTATCACAACGTTGGGCAAGTTCGAGATTGTTTTGCCAATAATGCCCAAAGTAACGCAGTAACAAAATGGATCAACCGAGGAACATTCATTGTTGTGTTTCTCATTGTTTTTAAGTTGACTTATTCCAAGCACATATTGTCATGAAAAATAAAAAAGTACGTACCAACATTCAATAAACTTACGTTTGATGAAATAAATTAATAAGCTTATTTAGATAATATAAACCCCACAGCAAGACGCAAACACAAGCCAAGTTATGTTTTTGTTTTTGCCTGAATGGATATAACCGCAAGCAGCGCGAATAGCCTCTGATTGGTAAGGTTCACAAGATGACTGGCAAGGTCACTGTTTTTCAATACGAAAAAAGTCGACAAGTATGATGTTTACAGAAACCGTAACCGTGTTTGTCCCGTGGCTGCGCACAAAGAGCACGCGAGTCAAAACATTGCACTTCGCTTCGGTGCAGAAGTGATAACTTTGCGACATGCATATTTTTACATTAGCTTTGTACTTTGAGTAGTCCAGGCACACTGTCTCCCTCATCACAGCGTCCCAAGTGTCATGTTACCTTTTGAAATAGCAGCGCCTTCCAAACTCGCATAAAAATGCATTTAATCACGTTCATTAAGGCGCATCTTACGTCCGAAGCGAGCGGAATTGTTTATAGACTTGGCATGCTTGCCGGCGCGTAGACAAAGTAGCGAAAGCGTAAGCCTAGGTAAGCAGAATCGTAGACATAAAAGACAACCCTCACCCTTTGGCCCCAGCATGAAGTAGAGCTGCGAACAAAACATGCCATGGCCTGGTGTATAATAAATTCAGCAATACCTAGTTGACCGCTTGAGGTCAACCGGTGCCACCCAGGACAGGACAACCTTAATGCATGGTAGGATGGAGTCGTCACTGGGACTGAGCGATGCACTCCGCTGCAGAAGCTTTGTGGCGTCGCCTGTCGCTCACCCTGGCGGGAAGGGCGGGCACCACGGAGGAACCGAACCCCGTACCTCTTTTCTCTCTGACGTGCAGTGGTTAACGCAGGTGCGTTAATCACTACACTATCGGCATTTGGCATCGGCATACCATACCATGAGATTGCAATGTCTCAGAGTAAAGAACGGTGCCCCTCAGACCATATAAGCACAACATCGTATTCTGAATCGAAGTCCGCACTAAAACGACCTTTGGGCGGTAAAACGTTAAACAAGGCTGTCAAATGCCTCCGGTCTAGGTGGACTTTTGAAAGGTCACTTTCCTATAACAACTGCCTGTGTGGCCGTCATAGCTCATTTGACCAACACAACCCGGGACACCAAATTTGGCGACGATGACCGTTACCGCTCTTCTACGGCCTCAGAAATGGCGCCCGAGGTTTGGCGTTCACCTCGTGCCACGCCAGGGTCTGTGCCGGGAACTGTATCTTCTTCTCATGTCACGCATATCTGGAGTTCCTATACAATACCACTGTTTGCCAGAGATGGGCATAAATCTGCAGGCCTACAATCTGCACGACATTTTTTTGTTTTGTTTAGATCGCGCTTGCATTTGAAAACCACTAATGCAATGCGTATTGCATTGGATTGCGGATCAGATCTCCGGCTGTTCTGGTTCTGGAACCCAATTATAATTTAATAAAATCGTCCTTTGCATGTCTTTTAACACCTTTTATCTCGATAGGAGTGGCGTGGCATGGATTTCTAGTCTCGATATCAACAGGGTGCTTTTGTCCACTCAATAATGTTGTCTGAGCCCCCGAAACGCAGCATAATGACGCATGCTTTTCGTACTTATACGCCTGCTTTCGGTCCACTACACAAACACCCCGGATTTTCGCAAAAACAAAGGGTTATAACTGGATTAGTTTTTTGATAGCTTTTGGGTTTTTATTGTTACATTTCAACTCCGGAGGGTTTTACGGAAACTACGATTTGTTTTCCTATTTTCGGGCCTTTGCCGCGTTCCTAGATGGCTTATCACAACAGAGACAACGCTTGCCGGTGTGCTAACTACAAAATGGTTCCCTATGACTTTATACGTATCAAAAAACGTGTACCATTGTCGACAGCGATCATCTGATCAACTTTACAAACAGCATCAACTGCATTCACCATTAACGGTTTCGCAGTTCACCTTGGTGATACAAAGCGCGAGTATCTGTCCGGGATCGCATTGCAGATCACAGGGCGAACACGCTTCCGCGAGGCACATTAGAGATCACAAAGCAAACGCTTTCCGCAAATCACAAGGGATATCGCGATACGTTCACATTTTCGTAAATCATACATGATCACGAAGTTAACAAGTGAGCGAAACTGAACGAAATGAAGAGTTGTGCTCCTGCCATTGCAAAATTCTGCAAACACCCCAGCTTTTCGCTTCACTTTCACTCAAAATCAGGACAACAAACTGTTGATGTGTGTAAAATGTGATGACGTCACTCATGTTTCGTAATATATCCTTCGCAGCATCACGACGGATTGACATGTCATTATGCATAGTTTGATAGCTTTCTAGGCGATCTTTCCGTAACTACGGGCGTGGCTGTGGGAGCGGCCCGCAGGCGACGAGCCGGCGGGCTGTTTGCCGACCCCCGGCGACGAGCGTCGCCGCTCGGTGCTGCGCACGTCGACGCCTTCAACAGTTCCATCAATGTCTGGTTTGCCAGGTTTACAATTCCTACCTTTGAGAATCCGTGCATTGCATGCTCATGTCATTCATTGCATCCATTCACCATAACTTGGCCAAAATGTTCCATCTATTTTGCATTAATTGCTCTTTTATGATCTCCATTCACGACAAAATGAATCAAATGAGAAAATGATAGGTCCTCAAATACGTCAACGGCGGGTGTTTTTTTGTCAACAGATTCACAACAGTGTGAGTTCACGAAGGCCGTCACGAAGATGACCACGCCGCCGCTACGTCGTCGGCTGGCGCGGCCGGACCCACCTGGCGTCGAGCAGTTCGCCGATGCGGACGCGGTAATAGCCCTCGGCGTCGTCCCAGTTGTCACGCAGGTGCGGGTTGTCCGTGAAGTGGGTCACCTGCTGGTCACCCAGGCTGGGGCTGGCGAAGTCCTCGGCGAAGATGTCGGTGGCGCTGGTCGGCGCGTCGCGGCTCTTGCGGCGCGCCAGCGCCTCGGCGCGCGTCCGCTCCGACTCGCTCGGCTGCCGCTCGCGGGCCGGCGCCTCCGCGCTGCCGGACGAGCGGTGATCAGTGCCGGGCGGCGGCGGCGGCGGCGTCCCGCGGGTCACTGCTGCGGGCAGCCAGCGACGCCCGGCCGCACCTCACAAACTTCGACAGCTTAGGGCTAGGGGCTAATTCAGTTGTCGTTCCTGTGCTAGACATTACCACGAAGCAGACTATTTCCACCCCTCATATGACACCCGCAATCGAACGTAATTGCCTGTGGTCGACTGCGCACATTGAACATTGGAGCCTACGTCTACGTCAAACGGACAAATGTTGGTCCTTCCGCTCCTGCTCAGCCTCCGTCTCCTATCCCTCCGCCCCTGCCCAGTCCCAGTCCCAGCCTCCCGTCTGCTCTGTCCTTGTCCAGTCTTTACCCGTCTCCCGTCCTCCCAGTCTCCTTCGCTGCCCAATCCTCTCAGTTTCCTTTGCTGCACAGTCCTCCGAAGTCTCCTTCCTACCCGGTCCGCCCCAGCTTCCTCCGCCCCCTTCCAGTCCTCGCCCGCCTTCCGGGAAGCGGCCGGTGCTCACCCGTTTGCCTCTGTCTCGGGCCCGCTGGCGGCGGCCGCGCCGCTCTGCGGTGACGTCTCCATGCTCTCCAGGACGCGCAGCTCTGGCGGGCTGCCCGGCTGCGACCACGAGGTGGCTGAGTCCTCGGTGGCGTGGCCCAGCTTGCGCAGCAGCCGCTCACGCTCCTGGCGACGCCGCTCGATCAGCGCCTCCTCGTCCTCCTCCTCGTCCACCTCCAGGTCCAGCAGCCTGCCGCAAAAAGACGTCAGCGGCGGGGCGGGCGGGGCGAGGCGAGGCGAGGCGAGGCGAGGCGGGGCTTCTGGGCACTGCAGTTGGCCGCGGCGACAGCTGGCGTGGCGCACGACAGGCAGCTGTGGTCCCAATCGAGCCACGGGGCACGCGGCTCCACTCTAGTGTGTGCCAAGTGAAGACGTGACAAATGGGCGCTCCGAAAATGGCGTGATGTGGCTTGAGCATTTGTCGATTAATGATCCAGAGTAGCAGCATTTGCAAATATATGCCTTGTTCACCTCCACAAAATATGTCAATGACTGTGAATACATAACAGCTCCCTGCACGTTATGTGGTATACTTACAGCCAGTGAGCGCATATGAACGACGTGGAAGACGTCCGTGGCTTCCAAAATATTTTAACAGCCGTCTGACGATGTGACACTGCCATATGATAACACTCTCTCCACAGGAAGCAACACAATGATGTCTGGCCCAGAAGAATATTCTAACTGCGGCTGGCGCGGCGGACCGGTAGCAGCGTCAGCGTGCGCTGGACTGACACTTACTCATCACTGTCCTCCTCCTCCTTCTGTCCAGCCAGGCCCTCCGACAGACTGCCCTTGAACTTGTCCTCGTCGTCATCGCGGCGGCGGCGCCGGTCCCGGTCCCGTGGCGAGCGGGACCTCCTGCGGCAGCGCACGGCAGCGTCAGGGACAGATAACATCACTGATACCGAGACTGGACCACCGCACGGCTCGCGGCTCTGGCCGCCCGGCCGGCGCGGCACACAACACTGCCAAGGCGGCTGCCAGCATGGGCCAGGCGTCGAGCGCGCATGTCAGACGCTGCCAGCACAGTACAGGAGCGCATCAAGCGACAGGGCCCTTTAAGTGTTTACTAGGACTTTATGGCGCGCTGACTGCAATGACAAAGAAGGTGCCAGCCCAACAGGAGAACCTCCGACCGACGGCGGCATCAGACAGCGCCGAAGTCGTACCGCCTGTCCCTGTCGCCGGCGGGCGGGCGGCGGCCGTCCTCCTCGAGCCGCCTCTTCTCTCGTCGCTGCAGCAGTCGGTCACGGCTCTGGCGCCGCTCGCGCCGCTCCCTGCTCTCAGGCCGACCGCCGCCACCGCCGCCACCGCGCCGCTCCAGCTGTCGGCCGCGCGGCGGCGGCGGCGCGCGCCGCTCAGCCTCGCGACTGGCTCGCCGCGGCCGCTCGCGCTCCTCCCGCCAGCCGGGCCGCGCCTCGGTGGAGTGGCGCCGCTCCTCGCGGCCCGGATGCGAGCCTTCGCGGTGCGAGCGCGGCTCGTCCCGCTGGGAGCGCGGCTCGTCCCGCTGAGGGCGGCTCTCGTCACGCTGAGGGCGGGACCCGTCACGGTGAGAACGGGACTCGTCCCGGTGAGAGCGGGACCCGTCCCGACGGGAGCGAGACCCCTCACGGTGAGGGCGGGACTCGTCTCGGTGAGAACGGGGCTCGTCCCGGCGAGAACGGGACTCGTCTCGGTGAGAGCGTGACTCATCGCGGTGAGAACGGGACTCGTCCCGGTGAGAGCGAGACCCTTCCCGGTGCGAGCGGGACTCGTCACGACGGGAGCGGGACGACCGGCCCTGGCGGCTATCCTGCTCGCCGGACCTGGAACAGGACGACACCAGCAATAGTCACCGGGGGATCGTATTGTGTACGTGCTCTGATTATATATGTACAGGCACAAGGATAGAGCAAGGAAACGCATAGCCGGCGCCACTTCGGACAGCAAGCGTGAGGTCGTTACGCTTAAGAATGAGTACACATATCACGCCATTACATCGGTAAAAACACATGATTGATTCCAAACAGTTCTATAGATAAGGCAAATATATATTTATGATAAAAATTTGGGACTTACTACTGACATCCGCATTAATAAAGGCGTGTACCCGAAATATCAAGCCACCTATCTCTTCGCTCTTCTGGTCATTCTGCGATAGAGGCTATCAGCACTGTCTTATCTAATGAAAGAGCTATCAGTAAGGCCCGTTTTATCTAACACAAAGGCTATCACTACTGTCTAATTTATGTCTTTCAAATGCACTTCACGACTTAAATGCACTCCCAACAGTTCTACATAAACACCATGAAGGCGATTTCATGGCATCATTTTGAACGCATTATACCAGCAGTGCGAACAAATTACTGATACCCAGACCGTTTATGCATGATGCACAGCATACATGTAGCAGGCCGATGTGCACCCCCTAAATAGTTCCGGTACCCTGACAGCTTCCCTCTCCCGACCACTGACAGCGGGCCGCGCCCGGCACGGGACACAGCAAAGTTTCAGGCAGCTGGCCGGCGGCGGCGGCGGCGGCGGCGCGGTCCCGGACCGTAGACACAACGTGGGCGGGCGTCGGCCACCCGCCAGCACTCGCCTGCGCTGGTGACGGCCGGCCAGCTCGGCACGCGGCTCGTCGTCGCTCAACTCGATCACCTCCGCCTCGGCCGGCAGCGAGTCGAGGCTGATGATCTCGGGCGGCGCCGGTGGCGGCGGCGGCGGCGCCTTCTGCGCCAGCTCCTCGCGCACCTCGGTGAACACCTCGTCCAGCCGCGCCTGCAGCAGGGCCTGGCGGCGCCGGCAGGCAGGAGGGCCGTGAGACGCATCCTGCACACGACACGCGACACGACACGCGGCGCACGTGGAGGCAGGGCCACACGAAAGGCACGGGTCGTTGGCCGACTGTGGTAGAAATAATAAAGCATCCAAATTCCACTTGAGAGTAATGCAACATAGGCGATTTAGTGGTCAAATGTCCCAGATTTTGTACTAAAGTGAAAGTCAAATGCCAGGCCTTTGCAAAGTGTTCATTAGCAGAGGGCTGACAAGGATTACCTGAATGTGCAGACTGATCACTGTACATGACCCACACATCCACCAGCATACCACGGTGTGTCCACGGGAACCGGTTCGACATCAGGGAGCTACGTAGCTGACGCCCACCCCCTCCGAGCGGCCTTACCTTCTGGTGCATGAGGTCATCCAGGTCGAGTGTGTCCTCCAGCGCCGGCACATCCATGCTCGCATCGTTGCTGATGGCTGGCGCCTGGACTGGGCCAGACTCGTCGCCGGACGAGTCGTCCACATCCACCAGCCGCACGGGTGGCGGCGGCGGCGGCGGCGGCGGTGGCGGTGGCGGTGGCGGAGGCGCCCGCTCTGGCTCCGCCGACGGCACGGCGGCGACGGCGGCGGCGGCGGCGGCGGCGGCGGCGGTGGCGGCGGGGCCGTCGGCCGCCGGCGGCGAGCCTGGCGGACGCTCGTCCGAGCGGTCCCGGTGGCGACGGTGCTTTCTGCGGCGGTGCGTGAACGTCAAGGGCCGCAGCAGACACACTTATGGTGAACCGCGCACACGCTGACGACTGATACTAGCCTGGGCAGCTCTGGCAGGGTATAAATCCTGACAAAGCACGAGGAGCACGGAACATCCGATAACCCACCAGACAGATAGATGTTTTAGTGAGCTTTCTGCAAGATTGCATGTGTGACAGTGGGGTATGATGCCAACATCTGGCATTGGTTTGGAGATGCATACTTTGGGAAAATTATGACTGACCACCTCACATAAACACCAATGCCAACACACTTTCTTGTCAAAACAGAAAAAGTACTGTAGTTGGCAAAAGCACATCCATGCAACAAAGAAAGCAGCATGTCTAGGGGAATAACCATGCCAAAAGAAATTTTGAAAGTTACAAGTTGCTTCTTGCAAAATAATGGTTGCTCCTATCCTACTTCCATCACTCTTACTTGTGTTTGCTGCTGGAATGTCTATGTTTGTGGCTCTTGGACCTGTGATGATGATGATGTTTTTTCTTTTTCTTGGATGACCTGTGCGAGGACCTGCCACGACTCTCCTCGCCCTCTACAGATGGACTTCGTGACCTCTTTGATGATGCCTGACGACTGAAGTCCTCTGGTGATGATATGTCTGACATCCCAATGTAGCTAGAACATATCAGACACAACTGCCAGATGAAAGCAGAAACTTGGGGGCAAATACAGGTTGCAGCAAACATATTGTTATCACCTTTGCCTTGGTTTTTGATGCACCACATGCACTCAGGGAGAACAAAGTCTATAGGCTTTCACCTCTTTAAATAAAAAAGTGCACAGTAAGATAAATTTACAGATGCAGTGATAACCCAGATGCTTTAGGGGGAAAGCCACATCTGAAGATACTGAAGCAAGCATCAGATCTGATGAAACAAGCTGAATTATAACTTTTGGTATGCTTTTTGAAATAAAGGGCCTCTGTGGTCAAAAGATGTTCTATGTTTAGTACATATGCTTCTCAAGATGATTGATTAGGTCATCATGCTTTACAAATATTAATTGACAGCCAGTTGATGGTGGTCATATCTGGAAATCACACATACAAATATGCTCAAGATGTCAGCAATTCAACAAGATGATTATATTTGCCTTACCCTTGATTCCTACATGGCCAATGGAATGGCAGGCTCAAAATCATGTTATTATGATGTCATGAATGCCTGGGTGACCTTGACATAGCTTTCTCCAAAAAGTTTATAAATATTGTGGGCATCTGGCTAAAAAATTGAGTTTTAGACATTAAGTCAGGGCTGTGAACTGTACCAAATTATCTCCAAGATGGCTACTTCAGTTCAAAACCCCATGAAAATGTGTAACATCTCCTTAAATGGTTCTGCTTAAATAACTGTTCATTTGCACATTTAGGTGATGGCTCCAGGCTTATGCTCACACATTGTGCACCACAAAGGTACATACAATGTACATACAGTACATACCATGTGCTGGACAACTTTGTCACAACAATGAATACCACACATCTCAGTGTGTTGAACCTTTGAGCTCATGTGTGCCAAACTGAGGCCAGTACACAGTAAGCTGAAATTCAAACTCCTTGGGGTAAAAAATGTTTTGAGGTAGTTTGAGCAGTTTCCTTCTCAATATGATAATTCCTTGGAACATAGGCTTTTTATGTACTGGAATTGGTGACACTGCATGCCAAACTCCGAGTGCTTTGGCATGGGTTGTAACACCCAGATATGTTCGGGGTTGCTTATTTTATGCAGTGTGGGGGGTATAAGTACATTGTTTTGCTTTGCCTGCATTATGCATCCTGTACTTCTTTAAAATACACATTGAATCAACCTACCTCTCAACTTGAGTCAAAGCCATGCTGGAATGCCCAGAATGTGCCGCCAGCGTAACACAAAATATATAGGGCTAAGCTTGGTCTCAATGATCTAAGCGGTTTTTGCTACAGTGAGCCGCTCCCACTTAGCTGTCTTCAACGCTTCTTATGAAAACAATGATCCAGTTGCAGTACGACGTCTGCGCGTAACTGTGGTGCGACGCCGCCGCCCTCCCGTTCACTTTCCCTCGACTGAATGGGCCCTACGCTTGTTAAACGCGACGCATAGTAGATGAATACCAGACAAGCGGCATTGCGACGATCGCACTGCGCCACTATAATGTGCGCCATTTCATGACCCAAAACATGCCCCTTTTGTTAAAATACAGCAAATCTCTGATCAATACTTGACTAGCACTATACCATACCTTACCTTACCTTATCGTGATCGGAAATTATAAAAGGCCACTAGGCCTGTAGGTCCCGGTCTCGTCAGGCTCCCGGTTTGGCTACCAAACAGTCTCAAATTATGGATAGATTTAGTGTGGGACGTCATAAATGACGTCAGCGCAGTGCATATCAAGCCTAGACTTGAACTGGTCACCTGAGGTTGACAACACGACCGGGTATGGAAGAGCGCTCCAATCGTTGACAACCCGCGTGCTGAACGAGCTACGACAGATGGGAGTCCTACCTCGAGGTTTTCTGAGCTTCCATTGGTGTCCTCTTGTCACCTCCGAGTTGTGCCTTGTCAGGAACTCCTCTTCCGACAGCGATATACCTCCGTGAAACTGCTGGTACACTGTTACCATGTCTCCCCTGCGACGACGGTAGTGCAGCGAGAGCAGCTGAAGGAATCTGAGCCTCTCAGGGTATGGTTGGCGCCTCACTTCACACACAAGTCGGGCTCGTCGCTGAACCCGCTCCAGCCGCTTCTGGTCCAGTTTGTCGAACGGGCCCCAGATGGCGTTGCCGTAC